CAAACATTTATTTTATTCTTTGCACTTACTGATTAAAACGAAATCGAAGTATATCTGGACTCAATAAACCGAACAGAGCAGGGGTGGAGAGGAACATCACAATTCACTTCCTGTGCAATATTCACTCTCGTCTACAGAAAGTGTCTACAAAAAATGTCTACAAAAAATGTCTACAAAAAATGTCTACAAAAAATGTCTACAAAAAATGTCTACAAAAAATGTCTACAAAAAATGTCTACAAAAAATGTCTACAAAAAATGTCTACAAAAAATGTCTACAAAAAATGTCTACAAAAAATGTCTACAAAAAATGTCTACAAAAAATGTCTACAAAAAATGTCCACATTCGGCCCGTAACTATACTCATTCATTGTGCAAGCACGTGAATGAGCTAAAAAGTGGATTACACGTGGACACGAAGAGATCTTATTATTTATAATCACAATTCACGAATGAGAAAAAAGTATGATTCACAAGAAAAAAAAATCATGCTTTACGTAAAAAGTATTGACGGCAAAATGAATTTATTTTTTCTGTATACACATGTGAGGATTTTTTTGGCTGCTCGCTCAAAACTAAATATTTTTTCTTTGTTTTTGTGTGGCTCGTGGCTCATGTTCGCGATGACTGTTCCCTAACTGAAGTTCATTGTAAATACAAGAACTTAGGATGCCAATAAGTGGTATAAAACAGCTTTTAGTTTATTATAAATTGCAGGTTTGGAGGGGGGGAGGTCGAACATTTGAAACAGACTTTCTTGAGCTTTCTGTCTACGTACTGTATTTCCATACCATATTTAAAAATGAGTTTCAATGGAATTAAATGATCCGTACCTCCCCGCCCGTGCAATCCTATAGAAAAGCATGATGGGAGATGACGTGTGTAGGGGCGGACGGGTTCACGTGAGCCGTTCCGGGAAAAGCCGCTGGGCCCTGGAAGCAGGGGTCAAACGCTGCGCGTTCACGAGTCTGAAAACAATGATACGGATTTACGAACTCGTATCTTGTGGAAAGTGTGGAAGAACAGGTTAAATTAAATCTACTCCAATACGTAAGACAAATGAAAGCAGAACTTGGTCATATTTTACGATGAGATATCTCCAACTGTTTTTAACGTGGACGCCGTCGTATGATAAAATGCTTGTTGACTGAGTATGGTCGCGTGGACAGGAAATATTAGGCTCTCACTCAACACGAAGGACCTCACTGCGCTCGGTCCGTACGTCATGAGTTCGGGCCAAATTTTCCTGCTCCGGCCCTCTCACTCAGTCAATAAATATACTTTTAAACGGTGTATTTCTGAAAGTAACATTTAGATCAAAGATTAAAAATTTGAATTTTAGGATTGTATTAAAATAGTTTGATGACATCATCGTCTGTTTTTCAGTTTCAAAGAACAGAGACCAATTCTCACTTGGAATCACACATGGAAAGCCACTTGAACTTAGCTCTTTGCAGCCTTGAGATCACTCAGAATCAGATTAAAGATCAGTCAAAGCAGATTGAGAGATTGACGGCCAAAAATGTAGAACAAACACAGGACATGGAGGGGGTGATGTCCTCCTACAATGATTAGTCACAGCAGTTGAATGATTATTTGCAACAATTAGACAGTTTAATGGCCAAAGATATGAATCAGTCACAAAAAATTAACCGATTAATGTCCTCTCTGAATGATCAGTCACAGCAGATAGCCAGTTGAACGTCCACCGTGCAGGGTCTGGTGCAGCAGATGGAAAGACTGAAGGGCCAGGATCAATATCAAGCTATGCAGGTGAACAAAACGACCAACAAAGCCATGGGCGGGCCAAACCAGAAAGCGGCAACTAATGTCGAGGCTGACGGGGGTAAGTTCCTAAACAAACTGTGGTGCTGTGTCGATGGCGGGTGTACTAGGATAACTTAGTTTTTTATTACCTGAGTTGATAATGTAAATTGGCCACCGTAAAGAGTTTCTACAGCTGACGTTTTGACCAGTAACCCTTCGTCACAGCGAACAGAGAAATTATGGGTTGCTTGAGTTATTTATGGAGAAAAATGGAAGTCTCACCAATAATCGAAACTTAAACGTACTTTCTTGATCGTATCTGACAAATTTTTATCCGCAAGTGAGTATTTAATAGGATTTTTTTTCAGGTGGGGGATACTGGTGTGTGGATTCGCTCAGGAGCTAATGTTAACCCGAAGTTAAGTCATTTGAATTCCGAGTATAACTACTGGGTTATGTTGGCCTTTGATGACGTAAAAACATCAGTGAAGTCTAATTAGTGTTTTTTTTATCCTTTCTTTTGTTATTCTTGATTAACATAAATTTTCTGTTGCCGTTAAAGGTGATACTATGAAACAGGGCTTCAAGCCTGAATCAATCGATGTTATTGAAGTAGNGCTCATCTTTCAAACCGGCAGTCTAAATCCCACAGGGATCAACGAACGCTTTTCATTCCACTAATTTATTCGTGTTTTTCTCGTTGCCATGTTCCCACCAATAACGTAGCTCCATTTTCTGCCTTTAAAAGCACACACAACCCACAATTCCTCTATTCGCTCCGACGAAGGGCTAAGGCTCGAAACGTCAGCTTTTGTAATCGTTACGGTGGCCAATTTACCATTTCAACTTTGTTGATATATCCAAATTATTGTGTAAAAATGTTTCTTCTGAAGGAAAGATACTTGATACTTGCAGTAGTCGATGTAAAATCTTTTTAAAAGTTTCAAGTTTGAAAATTATTCACTTTCGTCATTAGCCATGTACTCACAAGTTATCTAAATTAGTACACACGAATAATCATGATACCGTGATCTGGATCCACCTCTACGCCGAGACAATATCCCTGTCGCTCTACATATCCGACGTACTTGACTGTTCCTCGACATCTCTTGTTAGTCAGACCAACCCTAAAGAATACCTCCATACCTACTTCAATATCATTGATTGATTTAGGCTTGAAGCCCAGTTCTATATTATCACCTGTAACGACAAGAGAAAATGTCTTTTAATCAAGAATAACAAAAACAATAGATATTTCAAGTGACCATCGTACTAAATATATCACGATCACTAATTAGACTTCACTGATATTTTTAGGTCATCAAAGGCCAACAGGACCCGGTAGTTTTACTCGGAGTTCAAATGACTTAGCTTCGGGTTAACTTAGGAGCGCATCCACACACCAGTACCCCCCACCTTAAAAAAAATCCTATTAAATACTCACTTGCGGATAACAATGTATCAGACACAAGTAAGGAAGTACGTTTAAGTTCGATTATTGGTGACACTTCCATTTTTCTGCATATTAAACACAAGCAACCCATAATTTCTATATTCGCTGTGACGAAGGGTTACCGGTCAATACGTCAACTGTAGAAACTCTTTACGGCGCGCAACCAATTTACATTATCAACTCTGGTAATAAAAAACCAAGTTATCTTAGTACACCCGCCATCTGCGCAGCACCACAGTTTGTTTAGGAACTTACTCTCTTTAATCTTGACATTAGTTGCCCCTTTCTTGTTTGGCCCATCGATGGCTTCGTTGGTCGTTTTGTTCACCTGCACAGCTTGATATTTATCCTGACCCTTCAGTCTTTCTATCTGCAGCACCAAACCCTCCACAATGGATGTTAAACTGGTTATCTGCTGTGACTGTTCTACATTTTTGGCCACCAAACTGGCTATCTGATCGTTAAAGGTAGACGTCAATCTTTCAATCTGCTTCGACTGATCTTTAACCTGATTCTGAGTGATCTCAAGGCTGCAAAGAGCTAAGTTCAAATGGCTTTCCATGTGGCATTCCAAGTGAGATTTGTCTTCATTTCTTAGAAACTGAAAAAGAGAACAATGACGTCATGAAGATCTTAAAACAATCCTAACACTCCAATTTTCAATTTTTGATCTGAATGTTCCTTCCAGCGGTACACAGTGTAATTAAACAGGGGCATTGCTTGATGGGAATTATTAAAACCTAGCAATAAAAAACATATGGTACGTTATTGACCAAGCTTGAGTTTGAGATATAGAGGATATTAGATGGCCGCGCGCGGATACGAATTTTATCTTCGAGTGCTGTAAGTATCTCTCACGAGTGAACGAAGCGAACGAGTGAGAGATATACTTTCAGCGCGAAACGATAAAATTCGTATCCCTAAGCGGCCACGTAATGTTCTGTTCATTTTATAGATACTGATGAAATTTGCCAACCTCGTTCCCAGGGCTTTTCCCTTTTTGAATATTTTGGCGGGTGGGAAAAGGTCCTGGCATAGGCTGATGAGTGATGTCACAGCACCCTGAAATTCTGGGTGTAATAAATTATCATCACTGTAAACATGGCGGCACAACTAGGTGTTTCGCACGTGTTTGGAAATCTTCAACTAGCTTTTAATAAGAATGGTTTCCCTCCTATAAACTTAAAGCTCAACAAGTTAAATGCTTGGAGTATTTATTGAATGGTCATTGGAGGTTGGAAATTTCCACATAAAAACACAAATATTTTTATTCATTTTCAGAACAGCAAAACAGTTGCCTGTCGCAAAAATGTAATGAAACTCGGATATAAAGTTATAAAGGAGAAATAAAGACAATAATACTTATATTTTCTGCTCCAAAAAGTCAAAATTCTAATGAAGACGAGAAAAATGCTATCAATTTCCATGGCTAATCATGTTAGTGTAGTAACCATGGCGACACCAATAACCTCACACGTGAAAGATAAAAATAATATCTTCACTGAACGCGATGAAGGTATGATTTTTTAGTAAAAGGAAAAAACCTGGTATTTCATCCGTATCTATATAATAAGAATCAATATAGGCCTTTTTTCGCGTTTTCATGGACCGAGAAGGGTGCTACCACCTACACGATAATATGTGTAAACTAACACCAAGTGGGTAAAGTCTATAACAACAATATGTATAGGCCTCGGTCTTAGAAACTTCGAACTTTCCTCAGAAACTGTTCGTCACTCTTCGATTCTCCATGTTTGCGATAACAAACCATCCATCTAAGTGCGCCTGTGCAATAATTTAGCCGCTGCATTCAGGCCCGGACGGATTTTTCCGGAACGGCTCACGTCCTCCCGTCTACCCCTAAACATATCAACTCTCACCATAGTTTTCTATGGGATTGCACGCGCGGGGAAGTATGAGTCATATAATAAATTGTATTTCCTCTATGACACGTCCGGCAATAACCATAGTGAAAAATGACGTGTGTTAGGCCGGACAGGTTGACGTGAACTGGTCCGGAGAAAGCATTCTGGTCCTAGTGCACTTTTACGGTCACACTGTTTGCAGTTGTTGCAAAAAACGTGGGACAGCAGTTAACAAAAACGATAAAATGTCACGTTTTCGATAAATTGTGAGTTTCTTGTTCTGCTGAGTCGAAAAAATAAAGGGCAAGTTTTTAATGTAGAATCCCTTTTTGGTGGTTTTCCTGCGCGCGCCGGTCCATTCCGTTGTAATTGAATTTTTCTTAACCTTATTTAAGGTCACGTGATAAAATGCTTATTGACTGAGTTAATACGGACTGGACGAGAAAATATTTGGCGCGAGCTCATGAAGCACGGACCTCGTTGCTTTCGGTCCATACGTCACGACTTTGAGCCAAATATTTTCCTGTTAGACCCCCCTACAGTCAATAAGTACATAATATTTGACAATCCATTGTGATTCATTTTTAAATATGTCATGGAAATACGGTACGTAGAAAGAACGTCTGTTTCAAACGTTCGACCCCCCGCCAAACCTGCAATTTAGAATAAACTAACTGCTGTTTCATACCACTTCTTGGCATCCTAAGTTCTTGTATTTACAAGGAACTTCAGTTAAAGGACAGTCATCATGAATATGAGCCACCAGCTAAAACAAAAAGATGAATTAGATTTAGTCTTGAGTAAGCTGCCAGAAAAATCTTCACTCGAGCATAGAAAAAAAAAATCATTGAGCGTCTCAAAATCACTCCTTAGACTTCGTAATGTATGATACAGGACAGTGAGTTCAGCTAAATGTTCCATATCATTCTAAGGCATTTTCCTTGCACAGTTTTTAACTGACTAAGCTTCCTTGTTGGGATCGTACAGTGTAATGCCAAAGTGGATTGTATTCCTACAATGGAGCTACATACGGATTAAACTGAAATTCTGGCAGGCTCAACCATGGCAGAGAATGACGACCCTGGTGTCTTCTGACTGAGGTCAGGAAAATATCCAAAACAGTATTGCACTTTTTTCGGAGAATTGAGCATGGAACGCCTTCTTTTGCTCCCATAAAACAGGACAACACCTGTAGTGTTTCATCTAAAGGAACACTTTGTCTCATGCGGCCGGGCTGAGAGCAGGAACTTTCAATTAAACTCTCGTTAGAAAATATGACGACGTTCAGTAAGAGAATTCAATGTTACCTGTTCCCGCGGAATAGTCTTCAGACCACAATTGTTGGTACATTGAACTGGAAACTTTTGACACACGTTATGATGTTGCTGAAGAAAATCGTAAAGAAGTCTTTACAGCTCAAAATTCGTATCATCTTATTAAAATATGATCTGACAAATACCGCCAGGCCGCATTAACGAAATTGATAAGGTAAGCGAAATACTCATATTTTTATCAGTAAGCACGCTCACCCATTGTAAGATGTTTCTGTACAAAACTTTTTCTCGACTGAGAAAAAAAAAGTCACGAGCTCTACAAAATCTTGACGTAATAAGGATTGGAAGTCGTCACCGCTTGTCCAAGTTTGGATTAAAAGCAAACGCTTGGGATGTTGCCCTTCGAACTTATATAAAGAATAGATTTACGTTTGCTTAACTAACCTGCCTGTTTTTCACAATAAAGGATCCTTGACAATATTCACAACTGTCAGTCCTCCAGATACATTCCCTCATCTTGTGATCGTCCATATCTCGCCTGGTGAGGTTCTCTTTACATCCTGTATTTGGACACTCCACCATTTTGAACAGGCATTGCTGCTGATGTTTCTTAAATCAACATATATCGATAGTAAACTGCAATTCAATCACGAACCAATCTACCATGACACACGACATAAAACAGGCTAAAGGAGATTTGGAGGACTTAATTGAGAGTGGAATAATCGGTCAACTGACGGTTGAGCGACAACTTTGGGATCGAAGAGAAGAAATGTGAAATTCGCGTGTGACTTGTTGATAACAATGTGTCTAAAATTAGTTATAATTATTAAATAAACGTCTATTGAATTAAGAAAGCGCCTATAAAAGGCGATCAAATGAGAAGAAACTGTGCTCTCCTGGCTCAAACTGCCAACCATGACACCACACCGTACTAAAACGACACCGCTGTCCAGTTCAGACAGTCATTATTGTAAATTATAACATAACCAAAGTAAAGCGCGCTCTCTGATTGGTCGATTCAGTGTCCACCATTTGCCCATAGGTGTACGCTTGACGTGAGCAAATGCAAAGAATAGTTTTCCGCGCGCGCTTGTTTTTTTCTGGTCGCGTAAGATTTGTTACATAAAACTGAGAAAACTCTTTTGCTACAATGTATCAATGTCAAATAAATAATAATAAATAAATAACAATTTATAAAGCACCCTATCCAAAAGCTCAATTTTCTCTTAGATTGGTCTACTAAGAACGATTTGTTTATTCATCCTAAGAAAACAGAATATGTAATCTTTGGAACTGCTATGAAACGCAATCAAATCCGACTTTTACAATCTTTGCAGTATTTGTTTAGGAGCCAAGTCCTCAATTGTAAGCCTTTTCATAAGTACTTAGGAGTATACCTAGACGCGTCACTATCTTTCAAGGAACAAGTTACTCGACTGGTTAATAAGGTATCTAGACAGCTTGGTTTGTTAAGTAGGGTCAGAAACAGTCTCACGGTTCACGCAGCTGAAAGAGTCTTTACAACTATGATTCTCTCCAAGTTAGATTATTGCGACTTTGTTTGGAATAATTTAGCTCCTGTTAAATATAAAAGTTTAGAACGGTTACAAACAAGAGCTTCTAGGCTGATAGTTTCTAAAGAAACTGTTTGGGGCTGCGTCCGTGGGGGTAACGAAATAATTTGAATACATCAACAAAGATAGGGCTTCTAGAATTGTTTTAAAAGAAAGTTGCCTTATTCACGATCAGCTGTTGCGACAATTAGGTTGGATGTCCTGTAAGACACGTTCTACGACGCATATTTCAACTTTTGTTTTTAAATGTGTCAAAAACATTGCTCCTGAAATGTTCAAAGAATATTTTGTCAAGTTATCACATAACTATTTTAGCATGCGTAATGTTCTTGACCTTTCAGTTCCAATTGTTCACAGCGAACCTGCTAAGAAAGAGTGCTTTTATTCTGGGGCACAAGCTTTCAATAATTTACCACCAAACCTGAAAGAACTTGAATCCCTATTAATCTTTAAAACGAAGCTTAAGGATTTTCTATGTAATTAGCTTTTAATTTCACTTTTGATACTTCTCCTATGTATATACTTTCCTATAGTTTTTATCTTATTATGTATATTGTAATAGTCCTTAGGGCTTTTATTATTATTTTGCTATTTTTCTGTTTCCCAGGGCAACTATTGATAACAGCTTCTGCTGACGGGTTTACCCTGGTTAAATATGTTATTATTATTATTATTATTATTATTAGTATTATCAAAAGTAATAATCAAACATAATCATTCATTAAAATAACACTTAAAAAGATAATTTTTAAGATTACGCTTAAAATTGTTAAGATCTATACTACTTTCTATGGTTTCAAGAATGTCATTCCACAGCCTAGGTGCAGAGACAGAAAAGGCGCGATCTCCATAAGATTTAATTTCAACTTGGAGCGAGGAATCCCTAACAAGTTCCTACTCGATGATCGTAAAGATCTAGTGGGCTTAGAAGTTTCTAAAAAGTCGCTGATATAACTAGGGCATAAATTATTTAAAGCTTTAAAAGTAAAAGATAAATTTTAAAAATAATCCTCTGCTCCACCAGGAGCCAGTGCAGTTCCATCAGTAAAGGAGTAACGTGATCATGCTTGCGACCACATAAGATCAGCCGTGCCGCACAATTCTGGGCTAATTGCAACCTAGGAACTAAATTTTCGGAAGACCATATAACAAAGAATTACAGTTATCTAATCTGTATGTAACGAAGGCGTGTACTAACGCCTTAATACTACTAACTGACAAAAACTTTCTAATCCGAGAAATATTCCGGATAAGAAAAAATACAGTTTTACAAATGGCGGAAACTTGACGTTCTATATTTAACTTATTGTGAAAGATTACACCTATGTTCCTGGCATAGTTCGAAGGCTGTATAACAGATCCATCAATCGCTGTAAAAGAAGGAAGCTGAGAAGCAGACAGATTGCCCGATCCGATGACCAAAAGCTCAGTCTTATCACCGTTAAGTTTGAGTTTGTTCAATGACATCCAAGTTCCACTATCTTGTAGGCAGGCTTCGATTCTCATAGTAGTAACTGGTGAAACCGAGTCAAGCGAAAAATAAACTTGACAGTCAACCGCATAAAAATGGAAGTTCATATCATGTCTTCTTATAATGTCGCCGAGAGGAGACGTATACAATAAATACAAAATCGGACCTAGAAGAGATTCCTGGGGAACTTCAAACATCAGATCAGAGTGAGAGGAATTTGATCCATTTATGCTAACAAATTGACTTCGGTCGGTGAGATAAGACTTAAACCAAGCAAGAACCTTGCCTTTGATACCAAACCGAATATCAAGTCTGTGAAGTAATATACCATGTTCGACCGTGTCAAATGCCGCAGATAGATCGAGCAGTAATAAAACAACAGTACAACCACGGTCCATAGTACGTAAGATGTCGTCATGAACTTTCAGAAGCGCAGTCTCAGTGCTATGCAATTTCTTGTAAGCAGATTGTAATTTCTCATCAAGGTTCAGTGTTGTCATCAACATACTGCACAAGTTGTACCGCAACCGATTTCTCAATCAATTTAGAGACGAACGCAAGGTTAGAAACAGGACGAAAATTCTTAAAATCCTCAGTATCTAAATTAGTCTTCTTTAACAATGGAATAATCAAGGCAGTTTTGAGTGAGTTTGGTATAAGAGCCTCGTCTAAGGAACGATTTATGATATCAGTTACCACTGGCAGCAACCTTGGTAAACATTTAGTTAGCACAGAAGCTGGTGGTGGATCGAGAGCACAAGTTTTCACTCTGGGAATTTAATAAAGTTAGCTAAAAGGTCGGTAGAAACACGTTGAAAAGTCGCAAATTCACAGGGCTGGGATTGAGTCGCAGAGTCATCCAAATAAGGGACATTCGGAAATCCAGTACTATGAACAGGCAAACTATCACGTATACATCGTATCTTGCTAATAAAGAATGATTTGAACTTTTCAGCGATAGCCATATCAGAACTCACAGAAAGATAGCGTACTATCGGTTTCCTGTATAACAAATTATTAACTGCTTGAAATAATATTTTCTGGTCTCCTTGGTTGCTTTCAATTATAGATGAAAAGTGGTTCTCTTTTGCACAACGAATCAAGTCATTCACCTCAGGACAACGTTCGGTATATAATAGAATATTAATTAGCTTCGGTGTTATGCGCGCGCCATCGTCTTTCCAGTTTTCTTCTCTTTCTCTTTGCAACTTTAATTTCATCCGTAAACTATGGCGCATAAGGGTGAAGAGTAACTGACCGACGAATGAACGGGGCATGATTGTCGATTATAGATTGAAAAGTGGAGTTATATTGATCAATAGCTAATGAAAGGTCATCACTTAGAGGTAATCTAATTAGCGCGGAGTCTTCCAGGTCAGAGAAGAACTTATCCATGTCAATGGCACGTAAACGTCGAAAAGATAACATTTGATCTAGAGAAACAAATTTAGAAAAATCCAGATAACACCAGATCGTAAAATGATCAGAAAGTGCAGGATCAAAGACTGAGAGAGTCTTGATGAAAGATTGTTCCTCTCTTGTGATAACGAGGTCAAGGGTATGGCCATTTTTATCCGTAGAATCATTTACATGCTAGCGAAGGTTAAATGAATGAAGATGGCAAGTAAATCGCCCATCAGCACTATTTTGAGAATCAACATGAAATCTGAAGTCACCAGCAATCAGCAAATAGCCTGATGCCGTTACTGTATGGGCAAGATAGTCAGCAAACTCATCAAAAAACAGTGACACATCGGATGAAGGAGGACAGTACAAGACAATTAAATGGACAAAACACTTCGTAGCCCTCAGTTCCAGCTCGAGATGTTCTCAAGAGCAGTAGCACTCATGTGCTTGAATTTTGGCCCTGATATTATTAATTATTATTATTAATTATTACCTGATATTATTCTTGAGAACAATGCCAACCCCGCCACCAGTAGTATGTAATCGAGGGACATGGTGGAAAACATATCCGTCTGGACAAATGTCACAGATATAATATAAATTCGAATCATCACCACGAAGCTAAGTCTCTGATAGGGCACAGAGGTCGATATTGTGATCAGCTATGAAATCATTTATCAGCCGAGACTTGTTACAAATAGATCGAGAATTCAAAAGGAAAAATGCAAAGGTACAATGGTCGATAACTTAGACCGCAATAGGTCCGGACGAATACAAATTACGTTGTTCATATTGACACCTAAAGGGCTTGATTCACAGATTTGTAACGTTGAAGTGACATTTTGAATATTTAATGAAACATAGTAATGCAGTAAATGGCTTGAACCCGGGGGTAACATGTGAAGGTGTAGTCTGATCGTCCGGGTGAGTGTAGTCCTGAGAAGGACTGTTGTCGGTGGTAGTGACTGACGTTTCGATAACCTGTGCGGAAGTCATCATCAGAGTCAAGAGAATGATTGTTGTCAGTAGAATGTTCTTATTCCAGTTCGTGTGGAATGATCGGTTGATTTTGCTGTGATGTTATTGGCTGTAAGACTCAAGTGACGTAAGTCGGTCGTGATTGGTCTGTTTCGATCTGTCGGTAAAGTTAGGTCGTTCTTTTTCGGTCGTTTGTGATGTTTATGTCGTGAATGAGTCGTTTGTATGGAGCGGGTAGTTGTTGACATCTGTTTAGGGGAGTCTGTTCTAAGTTAGTAAACCAGCTTTCCAGAGTCAGTCGTTGAAAATAGTCAGTGCTGTAGGTTAGGCATTGCGCAGAGTCCCAGTCAATGTTGTGGTTGGTAAGTCGATGGTGTTCAGCAATGTGATTGCTGACATCACCTTTCCTCGTCGCCCGTCTGTGTTCAGTCAGTCTTGTTGTGAGGTTTCTGCCAGTCTCACCGATGTAGGAGGCTTGGCAGTCGGAACAATTGATCTTATAAATCGTTCCCTGTCTGTTCCTCGGTTCGTCTTTGTCTTTAACGTTGGTTAGTAACTGACGTAGTGTGGTGATGGGTTTGTGGGCGACGCGGATATTGAAGGGTAGTAAGATGCGCGAGATGTTTTCAGACATGCCTTTTATGTACGGTATGGTTGCTGTAGTCGTAGGGGTTGCGGTGTCGTTTGTTTCGGTAGTGGTAGTGGGTCGGTGAGTGTTTCGTCGGATGAAGTCGTTGTTGTAGTTGTTCTTCGTAAAAACACGGTGAAGGTATTTGTTCTCGTCGGATAAGCTGT